ACTCCTTATGATTTCTTCCAAAGCAAGGTTGAACAATACCGGCGAGAGGGCGTCTCCTTGTCTAAGGCCGTATTTAACTATAAAAGGTTCCGAAAATGTCTTCGCTATTCATGATCAGATCTCCCTTCTCATTTGTTAAAGAACAAATCGTAGGTCTGTAGCCATTCTTCAAACTTTTACATCGTCAGAAAAATTCTTTTGGGCTGTATTTATATTTTTCCATTTCTTTTATTTTTTCCTTTTCAGCTGTTCTTTTTTGCTKTCTTATAATTTTTGTGGCCTCTTTCTTTTTTAACTCATATATCTCAATATTAGCTTGCGAGAAATGTAACATTTTCAACCTCGCCTGATTTCGTTTTTTAATTATATCTTCACACTTTTGATTAAACCAAGGTTTTATTTTATCTTTGCGCTGACGTTGTATAGTTTCGTCCGCCACATTTAATATAGAGTTTTTAATTCGCTTCCATGCGTCATCAATGTTTTCATCCAAATTTGGATTATACTGATTTAGTTGCTTATCAATACCTTTTTGATATTGTTCTATAGTCGCATTATCATATAATTTATCAATATTGTACCTACAGGTATTCTTATTATTCGACTTTGTGTGTTACTGACTTTTTATAACAGATTAGAACTAAAAAGTGGTCAGAATCCCCATCAGCTCCTCTGTGTGATCTAATATTGCTAATACAAGATCTATGATTTTTGTTTATCAAAACATGGTCTATCTGGCTTTAAACGTTATTTGGAGCTGTCCAAGTGTGCTTATGTATAAGCTTTCTGGGAAAAAAATTGCTAGTTATTATCAGGTCCTTAGCGATARCATACTCAATAAGTCTCATTCCGTTTCCATTACTAATATCATGAGCACTTTCTCCACCAACCGTACAACCGTAGGTTTGTACATTGTCTCATTTCCCACTTGGGCATTGAAATCTCCTAGCAGTGTTAATAAATTATTTTATTATTATTATCATTATATTAGTTTACATATTACTGAAAAAATTGAATTTATGCAATAAGTGATATTTTACTGCGATTA